CAGCTGCATTTTCATCAACTAAGAGAACTGTCTACATAGCTAATGATAAAATTTCAGAGTATACCAAACTATTCTTGATCTGCTCTGATCTGAATATTTCTGTCATAATTTTGTTATCTATATTGGAAGGCAGAATCTGTGTCTTTTATATCTTTGAACAGTTATTATATATTCATATATGTATGTATATATAAAAAGGAACTGAGGATATTATATTTTAGGTTTGTAGGAATTTATGTTATACATGTCCTTGTATTTGGCAGACAAAGATTATGTTTATTGAAGTGAATGTTAAAGGTGGTCTTCTCAAACTTTTCATTTTTCATTAAGAAATTTTAGACCTGGAATGCTGAAAGCATGTTTCAAGAAAGAGTTCAGCATTGACCTAGAACCCTGAACTCTTCATTACAATGTAATTATCAGTTCATAAAACTGAATTTTAGTTGTAGTCACTCAATAAATATTTTTGGGCTTCTTTATGCTATGTACCATAGTAGATACCAAGAAATTGTGTTTAAGGAGAAATTGCAATGAGTTTGCATAAAGAGGTGGTAAGATGCTAAGGAGGCCATCTGCCTTATTTTAATAAGTATTTAATCCACTCGAGTCCTGACTTTTAACTGACTTGACTTGGAGAAACTTTTTGTGTGTGTGTCTTAATGAGCTGTCTTAATTCCTTATGCCTATATCTTAAATTGGTACACACTTAAAATTCTAGTAATGTAAACTATAGTTCCTATCAGATTTAATTAATGACAAAATTGTGAAGCAGGCAAAGATTGTTTCCAATTAGCTTGTGATGAAAAGCCCTGTAGCACCTTTTGGTGAGACTCTTCCAGATGGTTTGCGACATATAAATGCCTCTTTCTCTGTGGGCTGGGAATTTGTAAGGATTTTCACTTGCTATATTGCAAGCATGAAATAAATATGATGGCTATATTCTTGAGTTTTAGAATCAGACTGCCCATTCTAGCCCTGGTTCTCTTACTTAGTAGAAATAAAATTTGGTCAAGTTAGCCTATCTTTTCTGTGCTTCTCCTTTGAGTTTTTACTTCAATTTAATGTTATAAACATTAAATGATTTAATTTGTTCAAAGACCTAATTATATACAAATCAGTACCTAGTAAGAAATCCATAAGGGCAAACTTTTACTCAACATGAACCACAGATTATCTGTTTCTTCTTTGATTGCAAAATGTGAATAGAAAAGCTTAACAAATCATTCTACACTTAATGTTTTCAACATTTATGAGTTATCCTCAGGTACTTTATTATTAATCTAAGTAGGCTTTTCCTTCTCTGAAATATTTATTTTTAAAATTAGATAATATTGGTATAATCTAGAGCTTTTCTACTTCTATGGTGGTGAAGTAAGAAACTGAAATCAGCTCATCAATTAAAAAAAGAGAACATTGGAAAACCTGTCAAAATCAACATTTCAGAACTGTGTAAATTAACTAAAAGCTTTACCAATGCAAGAAGCATGGATTGAAAAAAATGATGAAATATTGGTTCAAACAGTAAATTTATTATCTTTATTAACTTGTTCCAATTTTCTCTCCTTCTGAGCTTTGTAATATCTTGGAATGGAAGAGTCTCCCAAATACAGTATCTGTAAGACTTAGCAGCCCCAGTATCGCCTGCATAAGGCAAATGGGTTTGGAGCTCCTCAAAGACTCTATTCTCAGAGAATTGTCACTGTTTACCTAGGCAGCTTTCTGAGAAGCTCCATTCCCAAGGATTCTCATTTCATCTGATTTTGAGTGGATTCTGTGCAAACAGTCCTTCTCCAAAGAACTTATCAAAAATAGTAAATAAGAACTATTGAACTTTGCAGTGTCCAAGGTGATGTTATTAGTTAGACTAAGAAGAAGATGACCAAAAAAAAGTTTTATTTGTTTTTATATTTGACAATGGGATGGACATAAGGAAACTGTAAAATCTCTGAAACATTCCTGGGAATCCAAAATGCTGTGCATACAAGAGGGACACAAAAAGACCAGAATTACTTTCTGGAGGGCAGGACCCTTGTAGTATAGGCTTCCCCCACTAGGTGAGTGTTCTAGGAACCCATCTGTTATCAGTGTACCAGCTGGTGGTGTTGTAAGAGGCTGTTATGCTTCAGCAAATTTTTCTGAAGATTCTTTCAACGTGTTTGCCCATTTTATGTTAGGTGATTTATAAGCACACCTGCCCACACTGTGTTGAGTGTTCAGCAGTTTTGTGACCAAAACCTACATGACCCCTATGCCTTACCTTCCCTATTTACTGGATCTTGCCCTCAGTGACTTCTTTTGTTTTGTTTCACCAGATGAAAAAAGTTCTCAAAGGGAAAAGTTTTGCTGATGAGGAAACGGTGAAAAAAAGAAAAAAGCAGAAGCACTAAAAAGTATCAAAATCAATGAGCTCAAAATCTGTTTGAGCAGTGGAAAAAAAGTCTCCACAGGTGTATTGCATCAAATGGAGAGTACTTTGAAGGTGACTGAAGTTTAAGCATGTAAGAATAAATATGCAATTTTTTATAAATAAATTCTGGGTTTTTATGGGTTTCCCCTCATATAGACAGTGCTGTGCATAAGACTTGGAAAAACCTAAAAAGGTTTTAATCTCTTAAATATGGTTGATCTTGAAATACTTCATAATTGGGAAGTAAAGGTAGAGTTCTTCTGCCTTTAAGATCATAAAGATGTCTCAGAACACATGCAAAGTCACTCAGCAAAAACTTATTGATTAAAGTGATTTTAAAAAATTGCTTTTCAATAATTAAGTGACCTCACTAAGTTATTGGTTAACTAATTTAGGTTAACAAGGTAGAGACTTGAGTGGATGCATATGACAAAGAATTAGCCCAGGAAATTCATTTAGCAAACAGCAGTAACAAAGAGCACAACAATCAACAAGAGAAAATCTTGTGAAGGAGGAAAGGATTTGATTTATGGAAGTGTTCCCTTTTACTATTTCAAGTAATCAGATTTAAGCAACAACAAAAATACACCAAATAATAAAAAAGCTTGTCCTATGCATCTAGAGAAAGGTAGTTGATAGATCTGTCCTTGAGGAATCCCAAATGTTGCACATATTAAACAAAGACTTTAACCAGTTATTATAAATATGTTCAAAGAAAAATGGAGACAAAGAAAAATAATTAAAATAAGTGATGAAAATAATGTCTGCACTAGTCATTAGATAATATGAACAAAAAAATAGATATTCTAAGGAAAGAACCAAATAGAAATTCTGGAGTTTAAAGTATAATAATTGAAATTAAAAATTCACTGGAGGGTCTCAATAGCAGAAATGATTAGCTTGGGGAACAAAAAGTAAAAAAGAATAAGACTAAAAAATCCTTAGACCTGTAGTGCACCATCAAGCATACCAATTTACACATGAAAATGATAGCTGAAAACTTTCCATGTTTGTTGTAAAACTTATTTGAAACATAGAAGCTCAAGAAAATTTAAGATAAACCCAAAGAAGTTTACACCAACATGCAACATATTAAAATTGTTAACATTTTCAATTCAATGACAAATCATAAAAAATCAAGAAAAATGTCTTATATATGAAGGAATAACAGGATTAACAGCTGACTTCCCATCAGAAAACCATGGAGTCTTTTGGTAAAATATCAAATCATGTGTATAAATGGCTTGTCCAGAAATTACCCAGCCATTTAATGTGAAAAACAGAGACATTTATTGAGTAAGGGACAAGAAACATTGTACATAAAACAATGATGCCTCAACCCCCTTCAAAGTAGGCGCATTGGTTCCTCACACAGTTCTCCCAGTTGCCATCAGCTGCACCACTGTAAATTTCCTGAGCCTCTTCGATGGTCTGAAATCTCTCCCCTTTCAAAAGTGATTTTATTTTGGGGAAAAGCCAGAAGTCATAGGGCTCCAAAACAGGGCTGTAGAGGGGCTGAGTCACCTGGGTGATTTGATATTTTGCCAAAAAGTCTCTGCATGAGACATGATGCATGAGCAGGAATGTTGTTGTGATGAAGCTACCAATCACCAATTGCCCATAGCTGCCACCTTCTGAATTATCTGAATAGTTTCCAGAGAGGAATGTTCAAGCTTAATGCAAAATTTGATGCAGATTTGTTTCTCTACTAGCTCAGTAATTTTGAATGCGATGGCCACATAGTACATGTGCTCACTCAGTGGCTTCTGTCACTCCCACTGGCTAGTACATGAAGTCATCATTGTTCAGCATGCACCTTCCAGTCGCCCCTCCTTGGCTGTCAGGTTACATCGATGTCACACAACCCATTCTCATAATATTAATAATGATTTGACATTTTTCAGACATATGTGTGTGCGTGTGTATATATTTATTTATATATTTATATTGATATATGTTTATAAATAAGTAAATAAATATTATTTATATATAATAATATATATTTATATGTATTTATACACATACACACACATACACCACCACCACCTCCACCAGCCTCCATACAGGGCCTCTGGTATGATCTGGAGAAGGGTGTGATCCCTGGATCACCACTCCCCTCAGGAGGTGCTGCTCAGCCTTTAGGAAGAATGGTAGGTGTGTTCCCTGCTCCTGCACCACATGTCTTGGTCTGTCCCAGATTAGTTCTGCTAACATATAGTTTCTAGTGAATTACCTGTCTGTTTCGGGTGTGGGACCAACCTGTGTAAAAGCTCTTTCCTGCTTGGTGCTGATGGCAGGTTTGTGTGAGGGCCGAGGCTGGGTGGGGCCCTGAATACCTCTTGCTGTGTCAATTTCTAATCTCTCTGCTGTGCTGTTTTCAGTTGAATATGGCATGAGGAGGAACCAGAATAGCATTTGATAAAAGTTAATAAAGGGCTTCTTTGGAGGTTCCCTTTTTTTTCCCCTGAGGATCTGCACCTAATAGGGGGTTCTTGAGCCTAGCCTTACTGTTTGACAGGGATTGAAGTCCTGCAGGTGGGAGATGGGAATGCTTTTATCTTCCCAGAGGTTTGTGTTCCATAATTTGGGTGGCCCTGCCAGGCTGCAAAGAATCTCAGGTACTCAGCCCGTCTGGTTCCTGGCTCACTGTTCTAGCAGGAAGCTCAGACGCAAACCCTCTGTTCTGCGTGCAGTGCCCCTACCGCCACTCACCAGCTGCACTGGGTGGGGCTCTACAACCCCTTCACTGTGCAGCCTTCTACTCTTTCTGGCCAGTGGCATACAATGGGCACAAACCATGCTTTGAATCTGGCTTCTTTGCTGGTTGGACAGCTGCATGAGGGTCGTTTCCCTGCTCATTTCCACTCCCCTCTCTTTACAAAAATCCCAGCAAAGCACCCACACTACTGCTCTGAGCCACTGCCTGGCTCTCCATTTCCCCAAAAGACCAAAAGTCTTTTTCCTTCAGGGCTGTCCACAGACTTCCGGTGCCTCTCACAATCTTAAGAGGCAGAATTTCTCTCCTGGACTCTCCCAGCTGGTGCTTCAGCCATGGACCTGCTGCTCACTGTGTGTGTGTGCAACCTGAGTCTCCCAGAGTCCACATATCCTCCCAAGTCTCTCCCAGTTAGGGTTGGGGGTTCCCCATTCAGAGCTGGGGCCCGCCGCTCCAGGAGGGGTTGGAGCCACCAAGCTGTACTTTCTCTCCTCTGCTCTCTCTGCTTCAGGCACTTCATGCAAGATATTTCCTTTTTAACTTGTAAAATTGCTTACTGGAAAGTGCAAAGCTTCTTCTTCATTCCCTGGCTTCAAAAAGTTGTACCAGCTAAGATTCCATTGATTGTTCAGGTCACTTGTCAGAGGATCTGTTGAAAATCCACACTGGGGGCATTAGTAAGTAGGCTCAGCTTCCACCTATTTGGCCACCATCTTTCCCCTAACATTTTCATTCCAGCTGAAGCTGATTGCACACATTTAATTTAGGAGGTAACATTTTTCCTAAGCTCATTATTTCACCAAGTATCATGTCCTTCATATTCACATGCCTAAATCATATATTCTTTAAAGATCAATAGAGAGGACACATCATTCATGAAGAGTATATGATTCTTCAATCATGTGAAGAATTTCTTCCGTTGAAACGCTTTACTCAGTCTCAATAAACCCAACTGATAAATAAATATTTTATACTCTATGTTAAAAAAAATTTCAGTTAAATTTACAAACTGAAATGTTTTTCTCATATCATGAGATATAAAACATATAGTGTGTCAAAAACAATATAAATACTGCTGTACTTCATAGTTAACCAAGCAGGTCATTGTAACAAGTTCCTAATTAATATACACTTTTAATGAAACTGCTGCTCTTTAAAAAAAAAACACTGTTTTTAAAATGAATAAAATATTATTTGACTATGCAGTAAAATTAATTTTGATCATGTTAATGATGCTAATTTAATATCTAACCTTATTTTCCTAAAATAAATTAGTATATATTTGTAATGCAGACTTTATTGTTATCTTCATTAGAATTGGATGTGAATAACCTGCAAGTCCATTTTTCTTTTATTATAAGCACTGACAGTATAGGTTACTTGAAAATGTTATTTTGTGGCCCTGGCTGTCATAGTTCAGTTAGTTGAGTGTCAGCTTGTGAACTGAAAGGTTGCCATTTTGATCCCTAGTCAGGGCACATGCCTGGGTTGCAGGCCAGGTCCTTGGTTGGGGAGGGTGAGAAATATCAGCCCAACTGAGGTTTCTCCATCACATCAATGTTTCTCTCCCTCTCTCCCTCCCTCCAGCCTCATCTCTCCAGAAATAAATAAGTATTTTTAAAATGTTATTTATTGCCAAGAACAGACTTTTTAATGTATATTCAGTTAAGAAGTAATAATAAAAACAAGCTTTCTTCACCTAACTTTTAAAAATTTAAATTATAGATAGACAGTGACAAGCTGAAGGTGCTCCATATCTAAGAATTCCAGTGAGACAGGCGAAGCTGTCTTCCTAAAGCTTTTATAGTACAGGGACAGTCAGTCACAGGGAAACATTCTGACATTGAATTATGCTAAAGGGTATTTTAAAATATAGCACTGATGATTGCCAATATTGCAGTGTATTTGAAGAATGACTGGAGATGAAGAAACAGAATGATTCATGCTCAGGATATCAATTTAAGTGTATCTTTAACATCACCATACCAAAAAAATCAATTACTATCCCAACAGCTTAACAGCTTTGTGTAGTCCGCATAGAACAAACACTCACATTACTGGCAAATTTCATCTTCTGGTTGAGGACTTCTTTTTTGTCAGGTTCAATCATTATGAAAGAATAAGAATACTGATTGATTTCCTTAACCTCATAGCATATTAAGAGTCAAGAGATGATGAATGACTTTTTGTCTATTAATCATGCAAAAGAGACAACATGAGATATTATTTTTCTCTTGAGTACAAAATTAGGAGGGCTGTCAAAAACAGTGACACAGCCAAAGATTACTGAAGTGTTTTCCAGTTATTCCATTAAGAATAAAATATTAATTAAAATACTGAAATAAAATTTTTTTAAAGAGTCTGGCAATATTGTTCAGGATATTATTTATAATGAATTAGTGAACAACAAACTGAAAACAAAATGGAAGTTAAGATGAAGTCAAATTTACCCTCAAGGACTAAATAGATAATCAACCTCATGGAAGTTCTATAGTTACAAAATGTAAATTTGCATATGGGAATTAATACAAGATGTTTATATTATAGCTACTAGCTTTTGACCCCATCTGAAAAACACTCCTTTTATCACAGAGCATATTGGTGTTTATATACTTCCCATAAAAAGGTAACTAATATAGATAACATATCATAGAATGGTACCAGTAATTTAATTAAGCAATGTTACCCCAATAAGTTTAATTTTAAAAATTTAATTATAAAATGAAAATAAAATATTTCATTATATATAAAAATCTGGACACATACCAGTTTTCTGGATCTGTGCTTAGACTGAGGAAAGATAAATGAAGACATAAAACTTATGCATAATTTAGGAGAAGGTGCCACATGGTTAAGGATTAAGAGCTGGAGATCGGGGCGATGCAGCGGATGGTGCTGAGAACCATGAGAAGCCTGCCTAGTCGAGCCCCAGACTTCTGTTCTTTTTCTTCTGAAGGACGGCCACATTGCAGCTGCTAGAGGAGGTGGTGACTGGAAGACAGCCAGCCTGACAGCAGTCATCTGAGGCCAAGTTTATGGAGTGATGGGGCAAGGCCAGCAACCCACAGAGAAAAAGTATAAGGGACTGTGCCCAAAGAGGTACAAAGCAGTACCTTGTGATATGTTCCCATTCCCAGTAATCACCTGGAAAACAATGGAATGATAGTGGGATAGGAGCCTTGGTGCCGCGGACAGTGGATTCGACTCTCACACATCCCAATGGGTGGGAAGTGTGGTGGAGGCTCATGAGGGTGGGCTGGGTGCCCACGGGCACTAGCACCAGAGGGACATTGAAACGGCCAGTTAGCTTTCTCCGAGAAGAACGGGGTCTGAATCATAAACAGGGGCCCCTAAACTACAGCAGCTAAAACCAAGAAAATACAGACAAAACGGAACCCCAAAAAGCTTAGGGGCGCTCTCTGCCAGAGACAGGTGGCTGGGGATGCAAAGAGACATTTAAAGGGCCAACGCAAAAATTACAGTGGCAGCCACCCTCCTTGATCTCTGGGTAGAGGTGGCAGCGGGGTGGGCTGGTGCCTGGGAAAAGACTGGTGAGGAAAACTTTGTGAAGAGAACTGAGACGGCGGCCGGTGGAGCCCAGTGATAACGCACTTCCCACTCTGCAGCTACCATCTCGCTCAGGCATAAGGGAATCAATTAACCTGCCTTTTGTGTGCTCGGCACACAGCTTGTGCATGTGAGCTGCGGGGCTGAGTGCAGACTGGCTGGGAGAGCCTTGAGGAGAGACTGGAGATGGAGGCGTTAGGGAAAGAGCAGGAGGAGGAACCGGGGAGTCCTGACTCCCTCCCTGTTCGGTAGTCTCCATTGTGGGCTGGAAAGGCGCACCCCCAAAGAGGCAGAAGTAGGGGCGCGCATGAACGAGACTGCCTGCGATTGAAACACAGTCCGCACAGGGGTTGGATCCTTGGCCGAAGAGGTCACAGAACTGCCCAGAGACCCCTGAGGAGAGACTAGAAAAGGAGGCGTTGGGGAAAGAACAGGAGGAGGAATGGGGTGTCCCGACTCCTTCTCCTTGCCTAGTCTCTGTTCCGTGGGAAGAGGCCACACCCCCAAAGAGCCAAAAGCCAAAAAGCACACATAGACACCCCAAAAACAGCCAGTGCAGGCGCGCACACTTGTGCCGAGTGACCAGCGAGGGTTGGCGAGTGTGTATGTGACCCGCGCGGGCTGGTGAACGCTTGCACTGGCCGGCAAGGCCTCCCACAGATTGGCACCCATATGGCCTACGAGGGAGTGCACAGAGCGGCAAGGGCAGGCGTAAATTGACCCGCCCGGCCCGTGATTGCAGAGTGGGCCACAAAATTAGTAGATCCCTGGCCTAAGGGGTCACAGAGCTGCCCAGAGTCCCTTGAGGAGAGACCAGAGACAGGATTAACCGGAGAGTCCTGGAGCTGACTTCCTCCCATTTCCGTAGTCCCCATTTGGCGAGGGCAAACAACGCACCCAAAGAGCCAAAAGTGGGGAAAACACACACACAATAGAATACCCTAACTGACCAGTGCCGGGGAGCTCATGGGCCAGGGGGGCCAGATGAGTATGCAAGGTCGCGAATAAGCCCCCTGGTCTGGGGCAAGCACATGCGAGCCCATGCAGGTGGGGGATCCTGCCGCGCAGGGACCGCGCTCAAAGAGCCAGCATGAGAGTGCAGAGAGATCCCCAAAAATAGCCCGGCCCTGACTGAAGGGGTCACAGAGCTGCCCCAAGCAGGAGTCAGACACAGACAGTAGACTCCTGGAAGGTTCAAACAAACAACCCAAGGTCATATAGGGTCAACAACTGACATCATCAGAGGCAGGCCCAGAAAGAAAAGGACAAAAATACTTAACAGACTCTCACAAAAATGGGAAGAAAAAGAAGTTCCCCCCAAATGAGTGGAAAAGGGGAATCCCCACAGAGAGAGCTAAATGAAATACACGCAAGGGAACTATCAGATATTGAATTCAAACAATGGTTCTAAGGAAGTTCAATGAGCTCAACCAGCTCAAAGAAAACTATGAGAAACTGCA